AAGATCTTTTGGATGTTGTTTTCAGTGTTGCTGAAGCCACGTTACCTGTTAAATCAGGTTTATCTGTGCTGAAAAAACCCAAAAATTCCCGGAGAAGGAAAAACAAGTGGTTTGATAAATCTTGTTTCGAACTTAAAAGAGAAGTATTGCACTTTGGAAAACTGACTTCGAAATTTCCCTCTGATCCCATTGTGGGAGGTACATTTTTTGTAATAAAGAAAGCTTATAAGAAATTAGTAAAAACGAAGAAAAGATCTTTTAAAGAATTCTTACTTCAAAATACTGCTTCCTTTGAGTTTGACAATCCCAAGGATTTCAGCCAACCAAATATCAGACAAAATTGATGCAGAAGAATGGTTTACCTATTTTAGAAAACTCTCTACCCCCCATAACTCCGCAAAGAGTGGGTTTGAGAAGTTGGTTGACATTAACGTACCGAATCTAAAGTTGCTGAATTCGCAAAATCAAATGAACCAATCCTATACGAACCAATCACGCTTGAAGAGATACGTAAAGCAGCGACCAAGTTAAAAACTGAGAAGGCAGCCGGAAATGGTAGAATATCTAATGAGATGATCAAATCAAGCGTGTCCATCATTGGGCCTGTATTGCAAATCCTTTTTAATAAAGTTTTGAATTCTGGCATATTTCCCCAGTTGAGGTCGGTGGGTTATATTTCACCCGTCTTTAAAGCGGGTGACATAGGCGACCCTAATAACTATCGCGGGATTACTGTATGTAGTTGTCTGGGTAATTCTTTACCCTAATTATTAATGACCATCTTACAAAATATCTAGACGAACACAATATAATACACAACAACCAAATTGGCTTCCGAAAAGGCTATAGGACGTCTGACCCTCCGGGATCTGACCACGTTTTTGTTCTGAAGTCTCTATATGATCTTTATACGAAAAATGATAAAAAAGGTATACGCCTGCTTTGTCGACTTTCAAAAGGTCTATCACACAATATGGAGAAACGGCCTTTTCTATGAGCTAATGAAATATGGATTTTCTCAGAAGATTATATTTCTACTCAAAAGCATGTATGACAGATCGAGTTGTTTCAGCGGTAAAAGTAAAAAGCGGGCTAACGGCGTCGTTTACTCCTTTAGTAGGGGTACGACAGGTTTGTAACCTGAGCTCAACATTATGTAACATGTTTGTAAATAACATTGTTGATATATTTGATTCCACTTGAATTGTGATCCCTTGATCATGGGAGAATACAAAATCAATTGTTTACTATATGCAGATGATCGTGCACCTTGTTTTAATTGTAATTTAGCCGTCTGTTTGAGAACAAATATTTCATTAAGTTGTTAGTCAAATAGAGCAACAGGTGAATTTTGAATATGAAAGGTTTTGCTGTCTTTTTTTAATAGATCGGTTTTTGTTTAAGGTGAAAACTGGCTTGCAATTAGTCTACGCTTCTTTCTATTGAAACAGCCGCTCGCTGAACTTGTATTTTCATTCATGTTATAATACTTTGAACTTAAAGGCTGTTTTGCTGACCTGGCTACAAGGTCTTTATTTCAGAACTGTACTTTTACTTTCTTAGGGCCTTTTTACATGGAGTGGGGGATCCCGGTCTAGTGGGGTTGGTTTCTTTTGTTTTCACGCTCTGGGGGACACAAAACAAAAGAGACCTACCCCACTAAACCGGGGTCCCCCACTCAATGTAAACAGAGTCTAAAATAACAACGGTAATAAAAGATTTCAGGTTAAAAATAGAGTTTTAATTAGTTTTCATTTAACTCTAAGCGATTTCTGTCTATATTTCTATTGTATTCTTTTGTCTTCAATGGTTGTAGAAGAATCATATGTAAGTACCGGTAAGCTAGTTTCTACTGTTTTTCGATTATTTTCGCCTTTTCCTACCTGAGTTATTGTCATTTGATCCGCTGAAGAATAAACGCTGTTGGAACCAAAGTTTAGTCCTGTTTAATCTACTGCTGTACCAGTTAGTGGTTTGATCCTGGTCCTACAGAGAAGTGACGGCTCAGCGGAAAAACCTACCGTCACTTTACCAAGGGTGTCAAGCCTATACGAATTTAAAGTTGACAAAACTGTCAAAACTGTCACTGAACTGTCGATCGCATAACTGACGAACCTTATGTTGATTTTTTCGTGATCATAATACACCAAATACTGATAAGTTTGATTAATGTTAAGTTCGACATTTCCCTCCCACAGAATGACATAGAAAAAATGGACGTACAAAACGTCTCACACGCAATCATCGACTAATTTGAAGCATGATTAAGTAACCTTTTAAAGAAAATTTTCCTGAAAGTTCTTTTCATTTCTCATTTATACTTGGGAAAATAATGAGCTAAGTCCAATTCTTGATGGCAAAGCGACCAGATACCTTTCGGATGGTTTTGGATTCATTTACACACAAGTTTTAACTCGAAATATCATGAGCTATAGCTTTTTTATCAAGCACAAATGGCCGACGCCCCTCATTTTGACGCCCGTGGTTTTTATGCATGCCCAGTAGGGTAGTAGTGTAGGAGCTGTTCGTAAGGTCTCTCCTAATTGGTCGCAGGAAACAATGACATGTCATTCTTTCTATTGTTTTAGTATTGTTTGGGGTCAGGGAAGCGCACCATTGGCCACTCCAGAAAATACCATTACATACCATAATACTCTTTGTTTGTCACTCCAAAATTTAGCATAAACATTGTTTTCAGTTTCGTTTGCAATTGGGGCCATTTTAACTCCCAAGAGAAACTGAAGACAATGGAGTAACTAACAAAGAGTATTATGTTATGTTATGGTATTTTCTGGAGTGGTCAATTGGCCCAATAGGGAGCTTAATGCGTTTTTGAACGGCGCACGTCAACCGGAAGTGAGGACTTTTCCATTTTAATGTGCCGTCATGTGACGCTGCCACATTTGTGCTGCCACTGTATTTTCTCTTAATGAACTTGCTCATGAGTGTAAACAGTTCACTTCTGATTGGCGTGCGTCGCTCAAAAACGCCTTTGCTCAGGACAGTGTCTTTGTGAACCAACACAACCAGAACTTCCGGTTTGAATTTCCGACAACTTTCGGTAGTGAATGGATCAGCATTTTCAGAAGTTCCCAAACAAACACGACAACCTCGCGAGGTAAATCCAAACATTTCGAAAATTTTTTCTAAGTAGTTTTCTTTCCATTCACGCCCTGTTCCTAGAACTTACAGGGAGTTAAGGTGGGGGGAGGGCAGAGTCAAAAAATGATTCCAAGGGAGAAGTTGACGGGCGGCGGCGATCAATGTACATCTTGGTCGCGCTTTCGTTAAATAAAACAAAGTAAACACCTGTCAGGATAATAGTTTTACATGATTTGCTCCTTCAGCAAACGGGGCTCCTAGGCTGCAAATTTAACACTAGCATAATTTTTGGCAATTCACTTTCACTAGCATGCGCTTGATTTTGATATTTTTTACCGAACAAAAGCACTGCTAGCATATTTTCACTTTTGGCTAGTTTTGCAGCGCACAATTGTCCCGAAATCAGTGCTACAGCCAAATTTAAGTTACAAAATCATTTTTTTGTTTGCTTATAGTCACTTAGCCTGCGTGCAGACGATAACTAAACTCTGATTAGTACCGTCTGCGAAGCAGTGCAGAGATCTTTGTTCTGGACCCCCAACGGACTCAACGAATTACCGGAAGTGCGTTTCGAATTCCCCTTCAACCTGATTGGCGATCACGACAAACAAAACAAAGGCCTTTTTTAACTGGCCAATCGTGGCGCGTACTCAAATCTGGGTACACAGCTGGAAGTCCAGAACAAGGATTTCGGCGCTGTTTCGCAGACGGAGTTAACCAGAGTTTAATTTCGTCTGCGCGCAGGCTAATAGTCACTGGGACCTGGGTCTTACACGAAGTGACCCACGACTTTTTCCTCAGGATTCAACGCATCCGCATAAAAAGCTCGGTTTATACGACAACGAAAACGTCCGCGTGCTGGTTCTGAATATTGATTGAGTTTTTTTTTTTATAAAAGCTGCCAGACAATGAATTATGCTGTCTTTGAGTTTCTAGGTGAAATAAAGCCCGGGGGGTACTCCTTGGAATTCTGGGTGGGGGTATGCGTACCCAGTTCTCAAAATCCTGACCCTATTTTAGACATTTTAGACCAAGAAAATGTCAGTTTTCACACCGGTTTCATACCTGGCCTCTAAACTCCATACTTGTTTTCAAACCTAGCCTGAGAAATTATCAAGATCAATATATAAGGTTTATATATAGAGAGAAAACCGTTTACAGTACAACTCATAAAACGGTCATAAATCGGCCCATGAACCACACAGGACAGATGTACACATTTGTGTAAGGTAAGCTGTTTTTTATTGGAATCCTTTCATTTTCGTAGGTTACAGAAATGAAGTGTTTTCCCCATACAATCCTTATATTTCGAATGTTACGCAACAATTCCGATGCTCGCCGATACTCATATTTCGATCTTGACAGTCTTGAGCTACCTGCGATGGAAGTCCCGCAGTTTGCGAGCACAGTCTATCAAAGCCAAGAGAGAATATCTCATTCTCTGTTGTCAAAGCCTACTCCTGATAAGATAAAATTTTTTAAGAAGACACAAGAACATAACAAAACACTTAAAAAACAAAAGAACTATAAACAGTTTTATAATTTTCTCAGTCTTCTCCAGAAAGCGCCCATGTAGCCTGGGTACGAGAGAAAGGACCATCTTCGGAACTCATACCTTGGCTCCTACCAGATGAAGGTCAAAATGATGCAACGTGGTCCTGCATGTGGAAAGTTGGAAGTTTTACGAACGTTCGTGTGTTGATACGAATAGTAGTGAAAATGTAAATTCTCAGTGTTTTTTTCGCCTATTTGAGACCCTATGGGAATTTCATTAAATCATTAATGTTCTTGACCTCTTAAACACTGCCTTTTTTCACTCCGGTGAGGAGAAAATCGCGTCTCTTTTAGCTCCATGTGCAATGTGAAGTCGACGACGACCATTTTTTGGAAGCGTTTTCATGGCCGATAATTTACTACAAGGGCTTCAGGCGGCCGCAAATGCGACATCACAGGCAGGGGTGAGTTTCTTGCTAACTCTTTTTCTTTTGAACTGTTCGGTTGGCGTTCGAACATCATATAGCAATGCAATCGTACATAGATTATACATTGTCATTAACATTATTCTTATTAATTTTTTTTGGGCAATAATGATAGGCCCTGCAATATTTTGAACAGCTAAAGAATTCCCCAGACGGCTGGAAGCTATGTGGTGATGCCCTAATTCGAAATCTTTACAGGTAATTGAAATTTGATGTTAAAGTTAATTGTTTTACGGTGGTATTAAGTCGTTAACGTTTTGGTCCTCATTGAGCATTATTTCAGAACTTGATTAAAACGAGGAATTGTTTGATATAATTTATATTGATTTTATGTTATCATTCATAATTCACATGCAACTATATAGTACATTATCTTTCATTCAAAATATTTTCTCTATTTCTGATTGACCAAATTTGGATAGTCTGGAACAGGCTTTTAGCCAGACATTGAAAACTGGCCGTCCAGAAGGTATGTTTTGTCATAAAATTATAAGAGATTAAGTGAATTTTCCTCTTATTTATTCCAAAAATGGGCGTCCATAGGACGGCTGGACTCCCTTCTGGCTAAAACCTTGGTCTGGAACCAGCTCCGCAGTCGGGGAAAAGGGCAAAAAACAGGGTCAAAAAGGAAAAAGTGGTGGCCTGGAGGGGGGAGGGGAGGGGATGTAGCAGAGCCTAGACATGCCTTTGTTGCTGCCATTCTGTGATACCATTCTGGTGGCAAATGTCTTCATGTTGACAGATTCGCGGTACTGTGGACAGTATCACACTCTTTCAATATCATGCTCATACAATTCGAGAAAAGATTTTAAAAGATGAACGAGGGTGGATTGGTTGCATCAACGCATTTCTCCAGGCTCTACCCTTTCTCTTCCCCAGACTACCTCTTACCCGCTTTGCTTCACTATAGCGAAGACCCCACTATACAGCCTGTAACCAACAATTTTTTTGGTACCATGGCACTTCGTTATAGTGGGGTTCCATCAAAATCCTGCAAACAAGCTAGGGCTGGCAGGAAATGAACAATTAAGGCAAGTGGGATTTCAATTTGGCTTGCCGAATGCTCCCAATCTTCTTGCGGCCCCGACACCTAAAAACAACAGCGAACAGACTGCTTATCTTGCAAGCTACACAGGCTAATGTAACTAGAGATGCAGGGCTCGAAATTAAAAAAATCCTCAGGTTGCCCTGTGGCGAACAACTGCAGAAATATAGTCGTCAGATGCAAATTTTTAGTCTCCTGTTTTTATAATGTAAATGACGCAGCTCAGGGCTTGTGATATTTTGCACGGTCGTGAAGCCATGAAATTCACAAAAGCATGCAAAATACCGCAAAATTTGGTAGAAATCTTATGAGATACATGTCTGTACAACATATTTGAAATTTATCTCAGCAAATTTATCTTGAAACTTCGTCACTATAACATGCCAACAACATCCCGAAACTACCAGGCGTAGATTATATTGTGAAAAACTGGGCACTAGCCATGACGTTAAAGGCTTTGCCATTGGTTCATTTCCGTCAAAATCCTGCAAACAAGCTAGGGCTGGCAGGAAAATATGAACAATTAAGGCAAGCGGGATTTCAATTTGACTTGCCGAATGCTCCCAATCTTCTTGTGGCCCCGACACCTAAAAACAACAGCAAACAGACTGCTTATCCCTCAGGTTGCCTTGTGGTGAACAACTGGAGAAATATAGTCGTCAGATGCAAATTTTTAGTCTCCAGTTTTTGTAATGTAAATGACGCAGCTCAGGGCTTGTGATATTTCGCGCGGTCGTGAAGCCATGAAATTCAGGTAAATCCAAGAAATTCACAAAAGCACGCAAAATACCGCAAAATTTGGTAGAAATCTTATGAGATACGTGTCTGTACAACATATTTGAAATTTATCTCAGCAAATTTATCTTGAAACTTCGTCACTAAAACATGCAAACAATGTCCCGAAACTACCAGGCGTAGATTATGTTGTGAAAAACTGGGCACTAGCCATGACGTTAAAGGCTTTGCCATTGGTTCATTTCTGGAGCGTATTGTTGTTGACAGAGCAAATGATGACCTCTGTTTGAAAAACGTTAAAAATGCTGGTCTGATCAGCCAATCGATTTGTAGTGAATTTTCCCTGAAAATAACCACAAAATTGGCCGTTTTTTCCAATTGTTTTTAGGCGAAGTTTGCCCCGAAAATTCCCAGGAAATTGACCAATTTTTCTGGGAATTTGTCCCTAAAAATCCTGCAAAATTTTACTTATTTTTCACAACCTATGAGAACCCGTATAGTATGGCGCGATCCATCAGATTTGAAAATATCATCAATAGAAGTCCGTATAAATTTGGAGATAAACTGGCGTTGTTTATGCGATTTGGCACATTTTTTATGATGAAAGCAAAGCAAGATAATGAAATGTTTGTTTTAACTTCACTCTTTTAATTTAAATCTGGTTGCCATTTTGGTGACTAAGCCAAAACTTTTAGTCGCCAAGGAGAAAATGTTAGTTGCATTGGCGACCTTATCACTCACAATTTCGAGCCCTGACGTGTCATAAAGTATTTATAGTGGGGTTTCACTGTCCCTGCAAAAAGGCAAGATATCAACATCCCCAAACAAGCCAGGGCTGGAGTGAAAACAAGAATTGGGGCAAGTGGGATTTCAATTTGACTTGCTGAATGCTCCCGATCTTCTTGTGGCTCCAACACCAAAAACAACAGCAATCACCTGCTTGTTTTGCCAGCTACACAGGCTAATCAGCTATGTAGCTAGACATGTCATAAAGTGTGTTGCAGTTATTGAAAAAGTTAATTATTTGAAAAACTGTTTGTGTTTTTAAGTATATACCCAGTTGATACAGTTGAGACTCTGGACAGTACACTCCTCTTAAGTAGACAGCTCTTCTTTCAGCTTATATCAGTTTTATCACATACCTGCCATTATGCTTCAAAACACCACTTGAATTTTATGCTTGTGCCTGAATTACAGCATTGCCAGAGCAACTGTATCAAACATTTTTTTTTGGTATCCTGATTATTTATTCATCACAGAAATGCACCCATTGATAATAATTGACGATCAATAAAAATGACACAGTGAGAGTTAATTAGTTAGATTAGATTAGATTAGATTACCACGTGTCAAAAGAAATTGGGGGAAGCAAAGAACACAATATCATGCCGTTTCCGATTTTAACTCCCTCAGTCAGACTATCAAAGACTCGAGGAATGTAAATAGTTTTAAACGTAATGTTTTTAAGTTTTTGATATAGCTATTTACGTTTAATTTTTACTTATACTTATTTTTAATTTTTTATGCATTTTTTGTATCTTTTTAATCCCTTTGCAATTTTATAGCTTTTTTTTGTTTTTATAATATATAATTATCTAGTTTTGAGGTCCTTTTTGAAAACCATATCTTTTATGAAAAAGTTTCCTCAACAAAGATGATGATTATTTTTTTTATTTTTGTCAATCAAGAAATCCCCTGTGTATATCCTTTTCCTGATTATTGTTCTTGCTAGGAATACCACAAAATTTTAAGAATAAAACTTCACGCAACTAACAATACTTCAGTCTATCTGTCTAAATTAACCAATTAAATTAGCACATGTAATTCAAACCCTTTAAAATTGATTCCAACACTTAAAATAATGGTAACAATACCAGTTTGTATTGTTTCTGCATTGTTTCTGGAAAGTGTGAGAGTTGTCAATCACTATAAAGTTCATAAGAGACCGAAAATGGCTTTATGGGTACCCCACTTTTCACATTTCACATTTATCAATGGATGCCAAACTGCAATGTTGTAGCTGAGTAAGCTCCCATAAGCTGCAAATGATATGACCCATTCACCTCTAGTGGCTGCAGACGAGAACCATTCTTGTAAGTGATTAGCTTCAGTTATGGACACATTTCTCTCATCTCAAGGGTGCCACTCACATGAGCATCTATTCTAGTACATGTACGTAGCTCCAGTATCACATCAACTGGCTTGTGTATGGGTGTGATATGAGAACATTTCATCTGCCTTTAGCCTCCCAGGCAGACATTCTTATTGGTTTCTTTTTTGTTGTTGTTTTAGTGATGAAAGTGTCAAGTTCTTTTGCTTTCAAGTATTAGAGCATCATATAAAAACAAGGTAAAATTAAACATTGATAATTTCTCATTATAATGATTAATAATAAATTTTACATAATTATTATAATGTGGCATCCATTTTAAAATTAATCTTCCTTCCATGGAAAAATCAAAAAGGTTTTATTCTGTTGGTTGATCTGCCATTTTAAAGTTTTGTCTGCCAAATTATTCTGAATAACTCTTATTAAAAGATGTTATCTGAAAATTTAATTTTTAAATATTTACTCACTTGGCTCACTTGGTATGATATTATGTAGGCTATTATGACGAAAAACATTCAACTAGAGACAATTGGGTTTAATTGTTTTCTTACCAGGAATAACTTACAAACATTTGATCATTAGCTGTATTCAGTATAAACATGCTTCAGTCTCCTGTACTGTACAAGAGATCTTGGATGATCTTGTCTAAGTGTGTGATCCTGCCCAAAAAATGGCTATTTTTTTTTTATTTTTATTTTGTGCACAGACATGTGTCATCAAATCTTGTAGATCAACAAGCACTCAGAGAGATTCTTTTGACCTGGCTACGAAATCAGGTACACTAGGCTAATTTACTCTACAGTAGAATCCCAAGGAACATTTTCTCTTTTTTTGCCCCTCACCCTAGATTGCAATGTCTGTCTTTAGGTGAAAAAGGATGTCTTGCTAATACCTTTGACATATTATTATGGCCTAGACTCTCTGTCTGTCTTTAATCAAAATTGAAACAACTTGTTTTATGTCAAAAGGTAGAGCAAAATTGTCAAACTTTGTTTTTTATAGTTGTGCAAAGATACCTAAAAGTGGGCTATATAAGTGCATTGGTTTGCAAAGCCATGAGAGTCTTCCTAGCACCTTTGTTCTTTGAATTCTTATACCTACACTGTAACGGTAATTGTAACATTTTCACTGCGATTTTTCATTGACCCTTGTTGTAACTTTTCAGTGTTGTACCGAGTCAGATAACAAGAATTTCTTGAAGAACAAGGCAGCACAAGTCTTCAGCTTGATCTTTGTCTGTGATTATCCTGAGAAGGTTAGCTGATTTATTGTTATTTTAAGTGTAATGAGCGCGAATACTGATACCCGAAATTGTAACTTGCGCTCAGATTTCATTCAATGTGAGAGAACTTCATTTAATTTCCTGCCTCTTTCACAAGCTCAGCCAGCAAGAAAAACATTTTTTTTGCATTTAAGGCTATTGATAATCAGGTAACAACTGCAACTCTTGATGAAAGTGGGTGTCCATGATGACCAGGGTCTTGCACTTTTGTCACAGTCAGCCCTTAGACAGTGTTATGCCCTCATGGCTGGTAAACTCGCGCCTTCCAGCCATGAGCCCCTACACCAATGGAACCAGGCACCTGTGGGAAGGGTTGGGGGAAAGGCACAATCCAAAGGCTGAACAAAGCGAGTAATCATCTTGAAAGCATTGCACTAAGCACATGGAGCTGATGTTAGCAAAGGTGACTACGCTTGGGCCACCACACTGACTGCTGAGCAACAACACACAATGGCCCTCCTTGTTATTAACTGCGTTAAATGTTGTTTCACTTCATGTTACATTTCTCTTCTCCCTGTAGTGGCCGCTGTTTTTCTCAGACCTCCTCCAGTGCTTGCAATATGGAGCATTAGCAGTGGATATGTATCTTAGGATTTTGAAGGCAATTGATGAGGAAGTGGTTGATAGAGATGTGATAAGGAGTCAACAGGTTAATTTTGTGAATTGTTTTAAAAACTGTAATGCTACAATTTCCATTGGTGAAAATATATCTCCAACAGAGAGGGGTACAATAAACAGAAATTAATAACCTATTCAATCTATAAAATATTGTACTACCTGACATCTCATACGAGCAGCTTGCAGCCACTGAAGTTGAAGCCATTTTAGTGGGTGTCTGTAAAGCGGGTTTGGACTGTACCTAAATTTTTTATTTGCCTAATATAAAAGCTTGTTAAAGTTTGTCATTCAAGTTGTTTTTGTTGTGACAAAGTCCACCATGCCCCCCCCATGAAGTTGCCGGTGCTAATATGATTCGAAACATGCTGTGCAAAGGGCTACGCTGTAGATGTGTGAAATTGCTCCTTATGAAAATCAAAATCCTTTGGAGTTAAATCACTGCTTCTAGAATCTTGCTTGTCACGTCTTGAAACTTGTGTAAGACTCAAAGATTTGATTTAAGACTGTCAACTTTTGTGGAGTTTCCGTTATTTGTACTTGTACAAGTTTGTAAAACCATTTACTGATCAATCAGTTTAGAAGCTGAACGAAATTTTTCTTCCATGAACAGGAAGCAGAGAGGAACACAAAAATTAAAGATCACATCAGGGATACGTGCGTCACAGAGCTCGTTGACTCTTGGTTTCAGATTCTGGTAGGTGGGAATCTTGTATTTTGGTACAACAATGAGGTTGAGGTTTTGCTGACGGTTTTTTTTATTACGTTTTGTATGCAGAAAACATATGAAAATAGTGTGTCATCAATAACATGCCTTTGCCTGGACATCATTGGAGCATATATTGAATGGATCGATATTGGCCTAATTGCAAACGACAGGTTTATCAGGTAACATTCATTGAATAGGGGCAGAGTAAAACTAATGCAGACTGTAGACTCAGACTGTAGACTATGCGGAATAATATTTTTAGGGTTAGAAAACAATGGGACTTTTGGTGAAAGAATGAAAGATGGTAAAATTTGAATGTACACCCTGTGGTATAATATATGGCCTCCCTCTCCGTGAGTTCTGCGTAGGTCAAGTGGATAGAGCATCTGCCCGGTGTTTGGAAGGTCATAGGTTTGAATCCTGTCAGGGACTCAGATTTTTTCTTTGTCCCACGCTCGTGACATGCTGATTATTTTATTTTTCACAATATTACTTTTGTTGTCACATTGTCATTTGCTTTGTGAAAACAATAGTCATCAGTCTGTGTTTTACGCTGACTGATGGTAAAAATGTTTCCTTTGCTCTGTGTTATTGTTTGCTTTCAATTCTCATAAAGTCAGTTTTTGCAAGTAGCCTGTCAGTGGTTGGAGTCAACTGGCAGCTAATAATATGGAAAAGCATCATTTCTCAATGCTGAAAAAAGAGGATTTTACTATTAGCAGAACCTTTGATTTTGTGTCCTGCTTACAAATTGATCATGTTTCTTTGTAGTACCTTTCTCCGGTACATGTCAGTTGAAGTTCTTCGGGAGAGCGCTTGTGATTGCATACATGAGATTATCATGAAGGGAATGGAGCCACTGGCAAAGAAAGAACTGGTGGAATCTCTTCTGAGTGTTCTGGAGAAAAGCAGCATCCTTGAACCACAAGAGGTAAAATGATTATTCATGTGTAAGCGTAACATTTTTGTCCAAGACTGTAGCTTCAATACGCAGTTTCCTCCATATTCCCAGAGGTGAATGGGTGAATGTATTTTTTGTTTAATTTGTCATTTGAATCATCACTTTTAGGATGAAGATGCTGACTTCATGGCCAAGTTAGCAAAACTGACGAGTGCTTCAGGGTCTCAGCTTCTAAACAGCTACACTAAGTAAGAGATTATTGATTTGCGAGCACAATTTCAAACTGTGTTCTTAAGCAAGACAATACTTTAGAGAGACTGAGAGTTGTATTGTCAGGAAACAGAAAACGTCAGATTCAAGTTTAGAATTTCTCAAAATTGAAAATGTGCAGCTAAAAATAAGACATAACTAATGTGAAGCTACTAAGTTTGTGGTAGAATTAGTAAACAGTAAATTGCACAACAAAGTTAAGGGAAAACTTGGTCACATGGTATGAATTTCACGTTTGCTGTAAACATAACTCTAAATCTTTCTATTATCCTGGACAAAAGTCCTTGAGACAGTACCGCAATATTCTTATTTTTCTGTCATTTCTTGGTTCCCTCTTAAAACAGTGCCATCCTTTTTAAAATCTTCTTGCAGTTCTCTCCCCCCTATACAAAGTTGAAAGTCGGTAAAAATTCAGGATAGTCGATACACACGTCCAACATGGGTGAGGGAGGGTTGGGCCTGTGTGAATTGGAAAACGTCCCTGAGAAATGCAGAAGTGTTCCAGGACTTTTGGCAGAATATCAGAAACTTTGCTCACCAAATACGGAAAGGTACTACACCCTGTAATTTATCTACATTACAAAATATGTTTTTATCTTAACTATTTTTTGATATTAACGGACTTTTTTAGAACGCTTTTTAAAAAGTCAAACTGTTGTAGAGCTGTTCTCCACAACTGAAACAATCTAGAAAGAGCTCAAAAAGAGATGTACATTTTTTATAGTCTTTTGATATAATTCACACAACAATCGTCGTAACAGCGGCATTAAGTCGGTTTTTTTTTCGTGTTCAAGTTACTCTTATATGCTAAGCATGACCAATGGTTGTCTAAATGAAATCGTAGGCTACAAAAATTTTCAGGCTTCGCTTTGCAAATGTGTAGACTACGAGCAGTCTCTCTTTTTTCTTGGTCCATCGAGCAATACGCGTGAGACACGCAAATGACCATATGCGTGAATGAAGGAGCCAACCTCCCTCGTTTCTTGCGATAAGCCGCTCGACGTTCGTGCGCGCTTGCACTCCCGTCACTAAATCTGAAAAAAAGAGAGACTGCTCGCAGTCTACAAATGTGTAGTAAATTTGAATGCTAAGTTTACAGTAGTGAACGGGCCGGCATAACGTATCTAAGAGAAGCCTCTAACATTCTTTTCTGTGGTGTTCCGCTTTTTTAGAACATTATCGAGGAGCAGCTTCTGTTGAAGCGAATGGCTGATGCCTGCATCAACTTGTTTGCCATGACGGCTGTGATTTCCAGAGCAACGCGATCCATAAACCAAGGTCTATCAAGTGCCAGTCATGAGGTGAGTAATGGGTAGTGTATTTAATCCATTCGCCCCTGAACCGCCCGTAACCGCCCGTGCGGATACAGGTCCTTTCTCCCGCTTGTGACGTCATCAGTTTTAACGTTCAAGGACAACTTTGTCTGCTGAATTGTGCAGGGTGAAGAGATCGTTCAAACCATACCAGGATGAGCACGATTCAGTCAAGGAGACCGGAGAAAAAGGCAAAAAACCATGTAACATTGACCCGAAAATTTCCTTAAAAATCTTGTTTCACTATCCACCTGCCTTTCCGTTCATTTAATCCTAAGATCCTAAAAGGTTTCCCGAAGACTTTTTCCCTTTCCGTTCATTTAATGCTAAGATCCTAAAAGGTTTTCCAAAGACTTTTCGCACCAAAACGAAGCCTACCAATTAAAAAGAAAAAAATGAGGCAAGAAAAGCGAAAGAAGAGGGGAAGAGAGAAAGCCAAAAAAAAAGAATTCAAGACTGCTGTGTCACTTTTAAACCCAAAAATTTTGCTTTCGGCGCATGCGCATTGCCCGAACTTTGAAAGCTGATATTTTGCATTTGGGTCAGAACGCCGTGAAATGTACGACCTGCAAACAGCTTGTGGTAAGTTTTATAGCCAGACAATGACTAGAAAACCGCTCGACTAGCTTCAAAACGCATTTTTCGGCAAAATTCCCAGGGGCGAATGGGTTAAACTTTATATGGCCGTTGTAGAGAGGTGACCGTTAGTGGAGGTGCGACTGTTTACCCAGGAAAGGGTAGGAATTACCGTAAAATTCCGAAAATAAGCCCCTCCAAATATAAGCCCCCCAAACCGGTAACGCAAAATCGCCCCTCCAAATATAAGCCCCCCCGGGGGCTTGTACTTGGAAAATTGCCCTCAAATACAAAGGAAAACAAAACAAAAACGGTAAATTTATTCCAAATACAAAGCTAGCTCAATCGATTTTGAAACGCAGATTTCTCTCCGTAGATAAGCCCCTCCAAAAATAAGTCCCTCAAAAAGGGCCTTTGAAATATATCAGCCCCCGGGGCTTATTTGCGGAATTTTACGGTATTTTGGATTTCCCAGCGGATTTTTAATTTATATGTTTATTCTTTTCCTTCAATAGGTTCTCCTTACAAATACAATATGCACTAATAAGTACAACATGAACAACGCTCTCTTTAAAGAAGTTAAATCAGGTTAGAAAATGTTTTGTTTTTTTATTGATCGCTTTATTGTAACGACACTTGTTACATCACTTACCGCAGACTTACGCAGACTGGTATTTATTTATTCAGCTGCTTGGCTCCCAGTCTTCATAATTATTGGTGCGCTCGTTTCTGGCCCTGCCAACCCTAAAAGGAGCTTTGTCACGAAATTCAGCCAAATTAAGAAATTACAAAATGCCCGTTAAATTAAGAGAAACATAAGGATAACCGCTTAAAACTTTAAAGGAAGGTTAAAATAACAGAACAGAAACAACAGATGCCACGGATGGGCAAAATTGAAGAAGATTGAAACGGATTAAAATTAGGGTTTTTGAAAACTGTTCAGCCTAACAGTTTTTCAAAGTTGATCCCTGCTGCTTGCAACATCAAAAATAATGCTCAGGAGACATATTTGTCTCGTATCTCGGATTTTGTCATTTACCTGTAATTTCTTTGCTTACTTTAAGTTCCATAGCGATTGAGGGCGAGTAATTGGCAAAATTAAACAAAATGAACTGGACTGCCGTGGCACAGCTCCTTTAAGCTAAGTTCACACTTAAACAGATAACTTTTCCTGCCGACACGAAAAGCTATCCGGTATAATATGAAAACCAATCCGATATATGACCCTCCACTTTCAAGATCGTCGCGGAGCAACTTCCCCTCGTTACAGCGATCGCGCCGAAATCACCGTTCTCAGACGTGACTGAACAGAAGCCCCATCCGGTAGGATTTTCGTGACGGTGCAACAGATATTAGTCTGCTACACAGTAGTTTTTAGTGTCGTCACGCAACGCTCGTCCCGTGACAACACTAAACACGGCTGTGGCTGTATAGCAGACTAAACAGATATTGGGTATAGTGTGAACATAGCCTTAGTCTCAGACATTGGTGAGGGGTGTTGCGTGACGATATTAGTCTGCTACACAGCAGTTTTTTAGTGTCGTCACGCAACGCTCCTCCCGTCACAACACTAAACACGGCTGTGGCTGTATAGCAGACTAAACAGATATTGGGTGTAGTGTGAACATAGCCTTAGTCTCACACATTGGTGAGGGGTATGGCGTAACGATATTAGTCTGCTACACAACCGTTGTTAGTGTCGTCACGCAACGCTCCTCCCGTCACAACACTAAACACGGCTGTGGCTGTATAGCAGACTAAACAGATATTGGGTGTAGTGTGAACATAGCCTTAGTCTCACACATTGGTGAGGGGCGTTGCTTGACGATATTAGTCTGCTACACAGCGGTTTTTAGTGTCGTCACACAACTCGCCTCCCGTCACAACACTAAACACGACTGTAGCTATGTAGCAGACACAACAGATATTGCATTGCGTGACGAGACAAAAACAGCTGCGTTGACCAGATCAACACAACACTTAGAGCGTTTTCCATTTGTCAGAACTGGCCGGACGGACAAGTCAGTTAGCAAATGAAATCGACTTTTTTCAAAGGGTTTTGTGGAAAAACCATCTCCTTCGTGCATACTTTTTAGGATTTGACTGATCTAGCTGGGTAGTTTTTATTAAAAGTAAAAATTCTCATTACGACGGGAATGGTCTCGCCGGTCAGTTCTGACAAATGGAGAGCGCCCTTGGTGTCTTACAATAATTTAATACCTCCCAACTAAAGCGCGTTTTCCGTTTGGAAAGGAATGTGTCACGTGCTGCCATGTGCAAACCTTCGTAACTCCCAACTACGAAAATCTACCTGCCGTTCGCGCCAAACATATAATTTTTTTTCACTTGTGACTAAAAATGCAACAGCATGATACTTTTTTGCATCAAATGGAAACTCAGGAAAAAATCCGAGTCCCAGATGGGATTTGAACCCACGACCCTCCGTGATCTAGTCGGATGCCCTAACCACTGAGCTAATGGAGCTCAATAGCGAAAAGCTAGTTAATGATTTTTTTAGTTAATTATTAAGATACCGTATTTATTCGATTAACCGCCCTGGACGCTTATTTAATTTTTGGACCTTGAGAGTGGGCGCTTATTCGAGGGTGGGTGCTTATTAAATTTTCACCATTTTCAGCAAGTGAAGTATGTTCATTTTGCAACAAAACAATAACTGCTAATAACTAAACGCGAAGAAGTAACAAAGCAAGGTTTCTGTAAAATACTCTGAAGAAAACTCCGTCCTCGGGGAAGTCTCTTATTAGAATTTATTCACTCAAGTGGGTGGGTTGGGGGTGAGCGCTTATTTGAGTTTGATTGGGAAGAGGAGGAGGTGGGCGCTTATTAACTTTTTCTGCCTTTAGGATGGGCGCTTATTCGAGGTGGGCGCTAATTCGAGGTTGGGCGCTTATTCGAAAAAATACGGTGGTTAATTATTTGTTTTATTTTTGAGATGTCAGGAATGACCAAAAAGTCGTAAGCTCTGTCTCACGAAAGAGTTTTATGTTCTGACTCTGCGGAATGTAAAAGACACACCAGGGACGTAACAAATTTCTGACATTGACCACCCCCCCCCCGCCTCCCCGTGATGTT